AACATATTTGGTCCACAAATTTCCAGAGTACTGTTAAATATATAGAGAATAATTGTTGGAGGTTCTACAACACTGTAATATATTATTGAAGTTTCTCTCTTAAGAGAAAACTTTGTGGTACAGCTTTAGTGGTGGCAACAATAACATGCAAAGAAAATTGTACAAATTTTGAAGCAAGAGAAATGAAAAGACATTGCCAGCCATACTCTAATTATGTTGACAACTATATTAAATTTTCAAAACTCCTTTAGCATGATGCTTACATCCCACAATAAATGAAGATGAACATCACACACCAATCCTCTCTCTCATAACTCTTTCCATTATTGGCTCTCGTGCTAAGTTAGAAATTCCACAAAGAATAATACGGCTCAATTCAAGCACCCACCTTTTCGTCGTTCTCTTTCTTTCAAAATTGCTTCAAACCATTCATGCTTTTCTTCTGGTGTTTTTGCCATGCACACAAACCACTTATTTTTAGCCGTGTTATGTATTTTCCACCCATTAACAACAATATGTCCACTGCTATGGAAATCCGCTAGCAAAGGCCAATGAACAAAATGTAATATATCATCAACATGATCATTCAATCCACGAAAGTCCCAAATTTATTGAATTATTCAAAATATCTTTACTTTTGTATAAAAAACATAAAAGTTGAAAAATTAAAGAAATGTTTTTATACTGAATGCAGTTAGTGTCCAATAATGGAACATGGAACATTTCTAAGTCACATTAATACTATACACCAAAATGAAAGTAATTACTAAAAATAATTACCATTTATTTACTCTATGTCCAAAATATTGTTCAACTTTACACAGCAATGAAATAACAGTTTAGGAATTTTCTTTTCAATTAAACATTCAAGATATCAAATTTATTTTGTCATTCTAATATTCCCTGTAAATAATATTCTAGGTTTCAGAGACAGCCTTTACCACACAGAACATTTCTCTAATATTTAATTATCAGCACAATAAAAATACAAACAACTCAATGGAGCACACTACATATATTTACCTAAGCTGCAATGAATGGAAACATACAAATGCCAAACCATTATCATGGCACATGGTTAAAACACTCTTCAAAACCACATCACTCCAAAAGTTCATTGATAGGGTTTTGGTTCTACTTTGCAACTAACCTTTAAGATTAAAGATTAACTGTCAGATTTTGTTGTATTATCAGAGAAAAAAAGTCCACAATTATCTGAAAGGTCATTAAAATACTCCTTCCTTTTCCCACTGCATACTGTGTGAGGTCAGATTTTCTTTATATTTTTCAACTCAAACAACATATAATGACAGATTAAGCAGAAGTTACATATAGAAAAGACTTGCCAACATATAAAACATTGTTTCTTTTGTTACTATGTTTTTGTTTTAGAAAGAAATTAATTTTCATGAAAATATATTTATGCTATCAAAAAACCATGTCATTCCATACAATTCACAGGAACAAAAACTCAGAAAAAGATTTTCTTGGAGAGTGAGTTAACATTTAGTGGTCTTATTTAATTCCTCACCGTAATTTTGGCTAAACTCTCATGTTAGATTTGCAAATGCCATCAGCAAATACTTCACAACTGTCTACCTAACCACAGGAAGAAAATAATGACGTAACTTGTAAGCAACTTTACTAGCAGGAAAGTTCATGCCAACTAAAGATTCCAAGATAGAAAAAAAAAGGATGACAGAGGTCTAAATCAGCATCAAATTAAAATAACAGTTTTCATTTGTCTCCCTTGAAAGTCATTAAACAGCAATGGCCAGTACAGCAGGGATAAGACACAACAATGTTGAAGGTGGTTCAAAGACTGACTTTCTGGAACTTTACCTAATGTGCTATTTTCTCTCTCAAATGATTTATTTTCTTAAGTTCTGAGTAGACTCAGATGAACTGGCACTCATTTTCCCACAATCTGGTTCTCATAGTCTTTCCATTAGTGCCAAAATAACCACACATTATCTGCTATTAGAAAATCTTCAAAACACATTATCAAATAGTGTTCTATAGTGCTGGGGTCTGTAAAACTTCCAGGCTACATTTCAGGAAGAATTATTTCAGTATTAGTCTAACATGTTCCCACCACTTTGCTCTTTGCTGCTTCCCTGGCTGCCGTGAACACATGCATTCTACAGGCTGAGGTTCTCATCCAGCTACCTCACTGTCCTTGCTGCTCCACAACCTCCTATATGAAGCCTTTTCTAACCACTCGTGCCATGCATTCAAACTGCCTTTGGAAACTGTACAAACTCAGAACCAGACAAGTGAGCAAGGGATTGGTTCCATGTGGATATTGTTTCCATGTCCAGAAACCAAGATTAGCTGACTGTCAAATCTGTCTCAAACAACAGCTTAACTGCTACAGCTGTAAAACTTTGAAAGAATATTTTGTGTCACATAATAACTGTAAGTAATGAAAGAATGTTCCTTTTACAAAGTTTATATGCTGGCTGATTTCTATCATACCAATTTTAAAAATCATAAGTAATTTTATCCATATATACATGTTTTTATATTATATATATGTATAAAATGCTTCAAAAGTAGCATGTATACTTAATAGTATTGTTATCAAACATTTTGCAAAATAAGCAATTACTTCTCATTTATTTCAAAAGATGTAATATATAAATAGATTAATAATTTAATCATACCACATTGTTTGACAATGTGAATGTATAGATTTCTATAAGAATTTTTTAAAACTACAATTTACTCATGCTTACTCAGTTTTCTTTTGATGGATATTCAAAATAAGAATTAAACTTGTGCATAAGGAACAGTTTCACTAAGATCATGCAAAATTCAGTAGTCACTTATCCTTAGCAGGTGTGTGTGTGTATGGGTGTGTGTGTGTGTTTGTGGTGCTTGGTTTTGTTTGGATGCTGGGGACTGAACCCAGAGACTCATACATACTAAGCCCGCATTCTATCATTAATATACAGCCCAACCCCCCTATCCTTAGTAGGAATCAAAACATAGTTTAATGAAAAATAATTTATTAAATGGCAAACATAGGAATTTGGAGGCTTTGATGGATCTAAAATATTAATTTTATAGAAAACGTCTAAAACTGGAATTAAAATTGTCATTCATTACATGGAGAATGTGCAAGCACAATGGTCTGTAGTATCTGATTTCTTCCAAAACCAAAAAAATCCAAGGGACAGACCTTAAGAAGTCACTAATTACTTTCAAGCTCTATGGTTTGCAAATTGCTTACTCTTAATTCAACAGTTTCATTTAATGAAATGGGGTTTTCCCAAGAATGATACATTATCAATCTCAGTGGATATTACTGGTATCTATTCAATAATTTTTGTATTTTATAAGATGGACAATATCCAAGTATTGTATACACAGGCTAGGAAACAGAAGAAACTGCCAAAAGCATTACTCAAAACATTAAGTACCTGATGTCAAAATAATGTATTCAGTCCTCATTCTAGTTATCAACAATGTGAATGTATAAATTTCTATAGGAGCTTTTTAAAATTACAGTTTACTTGCATAAATATTTGATGGTAAGAAAATTATATTTTACAATATTTTAATAGTTTTCAACTAATAGAAGAAAATTTTCTAGTGTCCAAAATAGTATTGGATATGATTTAGCAAACAGAAAAAGAGGGGGTCTAATTTTCTTTTAAAACTCTAGAAATAGCTCTTCTCATGACTTTTTGAATTTTCAAATAAATTTCATTAAATTAATAACATATTCAAAGCTTCAGTGTATAAGAACAGATTATGCTCTTTGTACTCTTTTCAAAATTGTGAAGATATTGTTACTTTTTAATGAAGAATGTATTCAATTGATATCATGTAATAATATCATGGTGGTAAAGGTAGCAATGGTTTAGTCAATTGGTTATTATGCAGCAATTAAAAACTGTTTATTTGGTGATGTGAGGTAAAGATAAAGACTATTATCATTAAGATTATAATTAAGATAATGTTTTTATTTAAGTGAAGGATACAAAATTATCACAACCAGTGATAAATATCACGTGATCATCTCAGTAGATGGAGAAAAGGTCTTTCACAAAACCAACATCCATTTATAATAAAAACCCAGAAGAAAATAGATATAGAAAGACTCTACACCAAACAAATAAAAGCCATTTATAACAAACTCACTGGCAACATCACACTTACCAGGAAAAAATTGAAAGTATTTCCTCTAAAATTAGAATCCAGACAAGGTTGTCCACCATCACCACTACTGCTCAAAACAGTACTCAAAACTTTAGCAAGCAATCAGTCAAGAAAAGAAATAAATGGGCTATTAAAAGAAAAGGAAGAAGTCAAACTATCCTTATTCACAGATGACATGATATTTTACATAGAAGACACAAAAAACTCTACCAGAAGACTCTTAGAATGAATAAATTCAGCAAACTAGCAGGTTATAAAATCAAAACAGAAAAATCAATAGTGCTCCTGTACATCAACAATGAATCCACTAAGTAAGAAACTGGGAAAACAACTTCATTCACAATAGCTGTAAAAAAAATCAAATACCTGGGAATTAACCTAACCAAGGAAGTGAAAACCACTATAATAAAAATTACAATATTCTGAAAAAGAACATTGAAAAAACCATTTGATAATGAAAAGATATTGTGTATTGTGCAAACATATATCAATAAAAGGTGGAAAAATCTCAAGCCCATGATTTTAAACTTGTCTAAAATATATGCATAAAAAGGAAATTAAAGAAAATATTTTAACTCTATTTGGAAGCAAAATTTAATTTTCTAAAAACTATATTCAACAATATGATGGTTTCAAATATTTTATTAAAATGACAGCTATAATTTTTCCTTATAGACTATCTTAAGAATAAAATGTCTTATAAAGACTACCTTAAGAATAAAAACATTCATCTTATCTAATTTGAATTTGACGATTGAAATCTATGGTTTGCTCAACACTGAAATATAGATCCCATTTTCTGAAGGATAACATTCTTGCCCTCTGCCCAATCGTACAAATACTAGTTGTTAAGGAAGAATATAAATTATCTAGTGCTATTTTTTTATGACTTTCCAAGTATGCGCTATGAAAATTACCATGGAAATTGAATCTAGGAAGTTCAATAGCATTCCTCCTATTCCTTTAAGTTTGATTTTTTAAAATAGCAGGGGATTTAGCTCAGTGGTTTCACCGCCTATTGTGCAAGCACAAGGACCCGAGTTCAATCCCCGGTACCAAAAAAAAAAAGTAGTATAGCATAAAATAGCATCATGATCAAATTGATATCCCCAGAAAGAATCTTCAAAGAGGAATGAAATGAGAATTGAAATCTAAGAGAATGGTGGAATGAAAATCTGGCTACAAATTCAATGGTTAACATCTTCTTTGAACACAGGAAATAATGAATAACACTTTTGACTTCTGCATGCCACATCATCATTAATTACATTTTTTCTAGGATAATATATAATTATAGTATAATACAACTTAGTAAACATTATAAATAAAATTACACTTATATTAATTCTCAGAAGATCTGAGCTATTTATATGTCAGCTGAAAACTTAGTCTCATCTCAAATATAATTATTTTTTTCTGCAAGTTTTGAGCTAAATCAATGTAATTAGTTGTCAGATAAGACTTCTCCATTAGAAAAGAAAAGCATTTTATTTATATCCACAGTATATAGAAATACTCAGCAACAACAGAACTTTCTCATGGGACTAAATCCAATGACCATTTATGGAAACACTCTGCTCCTGTCGGGCCTCTTTGGATCTCATTCCCTCATTGCCTCCAAAGACCATGGTTTCTTAAAGTTCTTTATCTAGTGACCCAATTTCCCAGAATCACAATAATCATTATCAAAATGCACTTCAACCAACAATACAGATGGCATCAATGGTGGCAATCACATCATCTGGAGAATGAAGCAGGAAGTGGAAAACAAGGGGTAATGATTAATCCCTCAGAAAGTAATACCCAGAGCTCTAAGCCAACAAAAGATAAAAACAAAATAATGAAAGTGCCAAAGCAAAAGGGGGGAGTGGTTCCCTTAGGGAAAGACAGGGCCTGTAAAGAATAGGGTATAGGGTGGAGGTCTGAGTATCTTTCTGTTACTAGCTGACTTTCTCCCAACTCAAGTGCAAAGTGGCCATTGGGATCTTTCTGAATGTTCAGATTACTGAGGCAATATAGCTCCTAACATTTTGAACATATTATTCCTAAAAATCATTACATAGTACTCTTATCATAAAATGAATTTAGCCACTTACAAAAATTAATATGTACATCCCCACTATAGAAGAATAGCCTGCTGGGTTGTTGGCACGATAGCATTTGCTATGTGTTAGAGTTTGCCACAGAAAGGGATTTGAAATGTGATAGCCACCTGTATCTGCTCTCTGATCACTCTAGACCTCTACCTCACCATTTGCCAGTGTGTAACCTCTCTACATAATCAAGGGGTGGGTCCACACCAAGTGCCAAGTCTCAGGCACCATTTAAATTTTGCTCATTGTATGCCGTTTTCCCTTAACTGCCGTAATTATGGTTCATGATTTTAAATACTTGACTAATTGCTATTATGCTAATGGAAAAGGGAAATGGCATATATGTGAGGATTTGAAAATCCATGCCCCTGATAGATAACAAATATTCTTCTCCCTTCTGGGACTCCTGGATGACAATGAAGGTATGTGGGAGGTGGGGAGCCAATCTACACTACAATCTCTTGTATAGTATAATGAATACTACAAGCATATGTCTCTACATGAAAATAAAAGCCATTTGGAGACAATGTACTTTATTTCATCTTAGCATTTTCCTAGTATACCTCTGAAACTATGATTACTATCACTAGAGAAATTGAATTGTGACTCAATTTTCTAAGCATTCAATTTATAGACAATTTTTTTCAAATAGGAAATAAAATTTTATTTTAATTTCATTTTACTTAATGTGTATGGCTAATCATCATTTCATGATCTTGCCTGTAAAAGTCCTGACCTTCAAATTTACAAGACAAAAATCGACTCACTTTTCATAAAAAAGTATAGTACTTAAAATGAGCACTTAAAATTAAACAAATCATTGCTACCCACAACTTTTCTCTACGAGCAAATTGATGATCTATTTATATTGGTTAAAATCTCATAGCTAAAAAATCTAGTTATATTCTACAGTGAATATACTATAGGAATAAAAGTATATATCACACATGTAAGTCATATAAGAATATAAATTAAAGAGAGTTAATGCATTTGTTGGATATTTTCTATGCACAGTCTGTACACCAGCAACTGCGCACGGCCTAGGGAATTAAAGCAGAATGGACATTCTCAGACAAAACTCTTCTCAGCTGATTCTCAGCACTTCTGTACTTCAGCGTGTGCATTAAACCTGATTTCCACTTTCACAACAATCCCGCACTCTTTCACCTCACCTTTCTCCTCCTTCCACCTGATTGCTTGCTCTACTTAACAAAACTATTTCTCAGGTCTAAAGCATGGCAGATAAATCATGAAAACAGAATTCTGCCTGACGAGGGAGCCTGCTACCAGCATCCCATTTCAGAGCCACTCGGCACTCACCTGTTCCGTCATCCACATTCTCCACTTCCATCACTTCCGTGTTGATCCGGCCACGAAAAAGGTACCGATGTCCATCTGTGGAACCCTTGCTATTCTTCAACCGTCTTAAAATGAATAAAACCACAAAGACTTTGTTACAAAACTTAATGAGAATCAGTGCTAAAATAATGGATTTTAAACTGGGCCCAGGGGCACAAGCCTATCATCCCAGTTACTGCAGAAACGGAGGCGGCTGATCACAAGTTCAAGGCCAACCTGGAAAACTTAGCAAGACCTTGTCTCAAACTTAAAATACATAAAAGGGCTGGGGATGTAGGTTCGTGGTAGGATGCTCATGGGCTCAATCCCCAGTACAAGAAACAAACAAAAAACTACGAAATTCTTTGAAGAAGACATCAATCAACATTATTAAACGATTGTGGCACTCGGTGGCTTTATTTGCATCCTTTCATTCACAGGAGCACTGTTTGCTTTACAAGATGGAAATGAGTACCAGTTTTTTAAATAAATTGAAGCTTTAGGAAAAAGGCTGTATATAGGTGAGAGAGTAAATACGTAGTTTGCTCCGTGTAGGCCGTCAGCATTGTCAATCAAACTCCACCAGACACTAAAGCTGGTTATTTTAATGTCACATTTGAGTTTCTTTCACCTTCATTTCTCATTTTTCACTACCAGATAATTCCTTTTTTTCAAGGGTTGGTTAACCAATTCAGTTAGTTCCTGCGATCTTTCTTCAAAGAAACTGACTGTAAAGAGGTTCTTAAGATGAGCAATATCCAGCTGTAAAATATTTTTCTATACCGTTTTTATGATATAACTGTAATTGTCGAACAAGTCTCACAATACATCTATAATCCTTCCTAAAAGTCTTACTTATTCTTAAAATAAACCAAAACATTTTAAAACTTGTGTATATCTATTGTCAGCCTTTAATCTTTGAAAGTGGGTGACACAAAGTAAAAATCCCAGGTTTACTCATGATATCTGTAACAATGAATTAGGTAGTTATGTATTAGAATTACCAAATGCTCAGCGGAGAGGTTTTCTTTCAAAACGTTTTATTAATTAAACAGGTAGGAGTCTCAGAAATGATTCAAGGAGATTCAAAATTACCTAGTCACTCAAGAGATTTCAATTGGCCTAGACTCTTCAATTTGACTCACTGACAAAAATCTATCTAATAATTTAAGCGATGGAAATAAAGATTAATCTGTTGTGCTATACAGACCCATCTAGCACAAGTTGAGCCTGCCCCCTACCTGCAATACCCCTCTCATCCCCTCCTCTGAAGGTAGACAGCCACCCTTAAACATACCTGAAATAAAAGGGTGGATTTAGGAAGGTGTCTCACATTGCTGTTAACCTTCAAGGCCCTTCAGGGCCCCTTGGAAAAGACTGTGTATTCCTGACTTGATTGTCCTATAACCTTATCAAAACGTAGTACTGTAGTCTTTATTGCCAATAAGAAAAAATAATTAACTTGATTATTCTGACTGGAGAGTCTTTCAGCCCCAAACTTCCACCACTCTGCATTTGCCATGTTCACTTTTAGAACAATCTCTCCATGTCTTTTGTTAATAATCCTAAATATATGCTGCAAATCACGAATTCAGGCCAAGTAGATATGAAAATTGGCAACATAAGAGATCAGATATATATATATATATATGATATATATGTATTTGACCTACATTACACATTCATTAAGTACATTTTTAAATGACAGGATTTTAATTTTGTAAAACCTTCCTAATTTATGAGGTGTGATCAAAAATAGAGTGGATGTTTGGGTTTTTTAAATTTATTACAGTAAAAGATACTTCACCATTAAGCTATCTCTCTCATTTGTTTCACACTTATTCTGTCATTCTTCTCATCTTCTCAAAGGCAGTTCTGGGAATCTTCTTTTGTGAGTGTTATGTTTTGTATCTAAAATGTCCCTAAAAGCTTCATGCACTCATAGGTGGGGTTTGGGCACGGTGATTGAATTGTGGAGGCTTATAGCTGACTTGCCCTTAAGAGGTGGAATCCGGTTGAAAGAGGTAGGTTACAGGGGACATAGCTTGGAAGGGTCTATCTCTTCCCTTGATCTCTCTGCCTCTGTCTCTGTCTCCCTCTGCCCCCCCACGCCACCTTGTCACATGCTGTTTTTCCTCTGGCATACCACCCTGCTTTGGAACCAGGCGACTATGGACTGAAACCTCTGCAAACTATGTGCCAAAATAAATCTTTTCTTCCTTAAGTAGTGGGTGTCAAATATTATGTGTAAGTACAGTACCTAAGACAATGAGAGTCTTTAGTTGTGCTGTGATGGCTCCCTCAGTGTCCTGAATTGATTCAGAATGCTTCCCTCTCATGGTCATTTTGTCTTTGAGGAAGAGCTGCATGGTACTAGATCTGGTGAATACAGTAGATAAAGACACATTATAATGTTTTTACAAGCCTATCTTTCCATTAGATGGACTTGGCAGGAGCATTCATTGTATTTGTATATTTTTAAAATCACACCTGGGAAAGACATGAAAGAGGAATTCCATAACTGCTTCAGAAGTAGCAAGAATGATGGGGTAAGTGTGTTCACAGGAAAGAGGAGTATTTTGAGGGGGATTAACAGCAATATGTCTTTTACTGTAATAAATATTGTTAAAATTTAAACATTCACCTAATATTTTGATCACACTTCATATTTGACAATTACAATCATGAGACCATACAATATCGTCATTTGTACATTTACACTAAGTAGATTTACATTCAGGTAATTATATATAATCTACTAGATATATAATACTGTATATCACGGTATCTTATGAGAAAGAATTTCTTGAAAATCAGTACATTATTATTAAAGCAAACCATATTCAAAAGGCCAAATATCCTTGAAAAACAGTTTTAGTCACAGTCAAAATAATCAGAAATATATATATAAGAATCTATCTTTGAGTCTTATTTTCCAAAGTATTAATTTTCTTTGTCTTCATCCTCTGAACAGCTTTAGATATTTATCTTGGAATATTTTACCTGTAGATATAAATATTCAATAGAAATTTAATAAGGTCCTGATAGTTTTGATTCCTTAAGAAAACTGAAAAGACTATGTAATATTACTGTATATTTTCATATTTTCATTCTGTCACATTTGCAATAGCAGATTGGAAACAACCCTAAAGTTCAGTAATAAAAGGAATAATTAAATTGTGATTTATTTGTGACATTAAACCAGTGAGATGTTATACAGCACTTAAAATGAATAAATTATTGTTACATACAAAATGATTATTATTTTAGAAACTACTGAACGTAAAAAATTGCAAAAAACTAAATATATTATGTAACGACCTCATAAAGCACATAAACAAGCAGTATCATATTAGTATGTCAAATACTACCTCAGAAATCATTTCTTAAACTGTCTCCTAAGATTACTACCATTAGAAAGATCCAGAGGTAGAATGCCTAATCTAGCACCCCTTCCTTTAAAGAATGTAACTCTAGAGTTATAAATGCATCAAGTGTCTGATGCTTGTATTATAATATTGTAGGACTTTGAAGAGGTCCCATTTACTCATACATTCTAAAGGCTTTCTAGATCTTAAAAAGTCTGTGGTAAGGCGCAGTTTATGGAGGAGATGAAGTATTCTAAATGAAGGGTGAAAGATCGTTAATTTACAGGGCTTCAGCAATACTGGGAGGGAATAGATATATTAAACTGTTCAGTTACTTCCATTTCTAACCACTATGCATTTGGTCTAACTACACATTTATTAAGGATTATTTGTTAAACTGTAGGAGTCCAGTTTTATGAAGCTTTTCCTGCTGCTTCACTTATTTAACAATTACAATCATGAGATGTTATCATATCATCATTTGTACACTGATGTTAACTTTGCAAATGCTCTGGACCTGATGGCCTGCATACATATATAAAGATAAAATAAACTGTAATGAAAAAAAGATCTTATTCTCAAACTGATGTCTTTAAAGAACAAGAAACTACAGACATTTATAGCTAAATGGATGCATATTGAGGCCATACTCTTAAGTGAAATAAATAGGACACACATGTGTAAATACTGAATAGTTTCTCTGGTGTGAGAAACTGAAAGTGTAAATAAGGATTAAAATGATTAAAATGAATAACTGATAATTTGAAATTTTTTTTGTATTAAATTCTTTTATTGGTACATTGTAGGTATACAACACAATTACATTTCTCATTGGGAATGTCATTATATTGTATACCTACAATGTACCAATGATTAGAATGAATAATCGATAATGTAAAATAGGAAGAAAAGGTCCAAAGGGGTAGGGGTAGTGGGAGGGGCAGGGGAAAGGAAAGAAGGGAAAGGAAAAATGATGAGAAATGGAAAAAATGGAAATAAAGTCTTTGTAAATAGGGAAGGGTGGAGGGCATGAAGGGGGGCTAGGAATGGGGAAAAAATAAGAACCAAGATGCATTATGTAAAGGTACAATTCCCAATGAGAAATGTAATTTGAAATATTAAAAGCTCCAAAGGTGTAGGGGTGGTGGGAGGGGAAGGGGAAAGGAAAGAAGGGAAAGGAAAAATTATGAGAAAAAAAAAATGGAAATGAAATCTATGCAAATAGAGAAGGGTGGAGGGGATGAAGGGTGCACAGGTAATGGGGGAAAAAAATAAGAACCAAGATATATCATGTACAGGTACAAACACCCAATGATAAATGTAAACATATTGTATACCTAAAATGTACCAATAAAAGAATTTAAGGGAAAAAAACTGATGTCTTTAATAATTCTACCAAAGTATGTTGATTCACATTACAATTTTAATGAGCTAAACACAAGCAAAATTAATGGCCTCTTCTACTTCCCAAAGCCTATTTCTATTAACCCCAATCTTGCTATCAAACACTAGGAATTTAGAAGACCATGGTAAAAGAAATATATAGGTTCATTTTCACATCTGGTAAAAGGGAATTTTGAGCTGAGCACAATACAACCCTGGGAATCTCAGCTACTCAGGAGCCTGAGGCAGGAAGATCACTTGAGCCCAGGAGTTCAAAACCACCTTAGTACAGTGAGACCCCATTTCAATAAAATTTTCTTAATCTCTTTAGCATAGAGATGAAAATTGGTTATGGGTTGTGAGAAAAATATGGTGAATGTTAAAATTTTTAAATTCATTACAGTGAAAGACATATTGCCATTATTCCCCCCAAAATACACCCCCTTCCTTTGTACACTCATCCTGTCATTCTTATCCCTTTATGAAGCAGTTCCAGAAATCCTTTCATGTCCCTAGTTGAGCTTTCTTGGCTCACTAATGTCTTGAATTGATTCAAGACAGATAACTTTCAGTGTCATTTTGAGTTTGGAGAACAGCCGAAAGTCCCACAGTGCAAGATCCAATGAATAAGGTGGAGAAGGACAACTGTATGTTTTAATTTGACAGAAATCACCATAAACAGTTGAGTAATTTGAGATGACCAAAAATTATGGTGAACACTTAAATTTTAAAAATTTATTACAGTAAAAGTTACATTGTCATTAATCCTTCTCAAAATATCGCCCCTTGCCTTGGACACACTTCCTATCATTTTTAGCAATATTCTCTTACTTTAATAGTTTTTTGCCTTTTGAATTTTTACATTCACTGTATTTTTTGATCACCTCTTACATCTTTTGGCTCTGCTCCTAACTTGTTCCCTTTCATGAAGGTACGCATTGTAGTCCTATGTTTTCTCACTTCGTATTATTGCATTTTTGAATTAATATCTCTTACCAGAAAATTCTAACACTGCAATCCACCTGGATGAATTACCATCTATTATCAATATAGCTGCCAAATTTTCACTAACTTGCCCTAGGTATCTTGCTGACCTCAGAAAACTCATTTCAAAGCATAAGAAATGATGTTCCCTCAATTCTGCCTAATAAATCAGTTTTGTGTCTCTCAGTCTCAATCTACCAGAAAACGTTTGTGTATAGTTTCCTGGCTTCTGAATTTAGCATAGACAATCACCTAAAACCCTGCATTTTCTACCACATACCTTCCCTGACAATGAATTGAAGCCTATGGTACCATCTCACTAAAATAAATATGCCCAGCTACAGTTAGTGTCTTAAGAAGTACTCAAATAAGTCAGATGTTAAGAAAATAAGCAGAACCTTAAAAAGCAGAAAAGTGATTGTTGGATTAGGAAGCAGAAGAGTTTCTTTGACATAAGAAGCTTAGGTGAGTAGAGTGGACTAAAGACACATTGAAGGATACTGAGAGGAAAATAAGAAGTTTAGGAAGTAGAAAAATAACAACATAAAACTCTTTCCAGAAAGTCCACTGTGAATGAGAGCAGAAAGAAGGGAGAAATATCAGAGGCATCTTTTTCTTTAAGACAGAAATTTTAGACTATGGCAGGAGCCATGGTGATTGAAATAACATCAAAAAGTAGCTTAACTGGGAATTCCAAAGGAGAGCTGGGAGGAAAGTGAAGATATGCAGAATGGGATGATGGTCAAAATGGAAACTGTAATTTCATAACAGCTGATATGTAAAGGTACAACCATAGAACAAGTGACTTGGTGCAACAGAGCTAAAGACCATTAAAAATAAAGACTGGGATTTCCACAGTCACTGGATAAGCTCTGTATGAATTATGTATGTGAGTTTTGAACAAGACTGGTGACAGAAGTGGAAAGATAGTGACTCAAGAGCTAAACAATCATTGAATCTGTGTGTAGCAGGGAAATATTAAATTCTCTGTAAAATGGAGTCAATAGAGAAACTAAATGGGTAGGAAAGACTAATGGCATAAACGTTACATGTGCAAGGAGTCTGGAGGGAAGAGGGGTAAGTGGTTGGGACACAGAATTAGGGATCAGAGAAGACACTCAAGCCTCTCCTCTAGGCTCTGAGATATACAGGTCAGGAGCCAACACCTCTCCATGAGGAGGCTTAGGGAGGTGGCATCATGAGATGACAATGAGGTCCAACAGGAAGACGAGGAGAGTAGTAGGAACAGGATAGTATCTAAAGCAGGTTACTGGGCCAATACTGACTTCTGGGAAATACAGAAGAAAATGTGAGATGCATAAAACATTTCTAAAGTGTGACTCCTTTATGATCTTACCTGTGTTTTCTTTTGCAGTACACCAAAAGATTATCAAAAAGAAAAAACACCCGCTCTTGAATGTTTCCAGAAGAAATTTTCAGCAAAACTCCACACATTAGCATTTCAGTGCAGGTGTCAGTAATGTTGGACCCCTGAGTCAGGGAAAACAAAAAAGGTAATGTCTGATTACTTGGCCAAAACTTTTGGATGTAATTATTCTTCTCCTTAAAATTATACTTGCTTTTATTAAGAAGCAATATATGCACAGCACAAAGTTCAAACAAGACAAGTAGCCATACTGAAACAAGAAACCATATGTAGGTTTCCTCCCATTTCCAGTCACCTGGTCAGTTCCAGCAGACACTGAATCTGCTTTCAGACAGCTTATGTACATATGCACACATAATATAGGTTATCTGTGCTATTCTGAACAGAGATAATTCATAATATTTATGCCCATATTTTTCCTTTCTTGTTTTCTCCAGTACAGACTCCAAGGACACATAAGAAATTATATGAAACTGCCTAAGTTTTCACCCAGTATCAATTTGTATATCCATTCCTAGGATAAAGAAAAGAAAATAAATAAATAAAATCAAAAATTATTTAAAGTGAGTAACTTTCAAAAGAGGCTTTTACATGATTTATAAAAAGCTGACATAGGCACACTTATTGATTAAATAAGCCTTTATTGAGCATCCTCCAAGATTACACGATTGAATGACAAATCCAGTCCTTCACCGGAGACCCAACCTATAGACACTGAGAGGAGCCAAGAGGGAAGGAGGGCCAGGCCCTTGAATCATCAACAGCAGAAAGCTGCCCACTGAGCACAACACACACATTCAAATTCTCGTATAACTGGGACTTACATGTTTATCTTGAGTCATAGAAATTATAGTCTATTTGTCTAACTAATAGTCTAATACACTTAAGTGGTTTTTAAAAAAAAGGAATTGTCAGTAGAGACATGCAGGTGTTCTCTGCAAGAGAATTTCAACTTTAAATGTGCCTGATTTCTTTTTTTATTTTCTTATTTTGAGACAGGGTTTCCCTAAGTCCCTAAAATGCCCAGGGATGGGCTCCCACTTTTGATCCTTCTGCCTCAGGACTGCCTCTCAGTCTTCCAGAGTGTCTGGTTTCATTGAACATAGAGGCAAATTACTGATTCTTGTTTAAATCAATGTTTCTATTTTTATTTTTATATTAAAAGTTCAGATGATTAATTTTAAATTTCATATTCCCACAAAACTCACAGTTTTTCTGATCAATTTTTAAAATTTAAATTACAACTCGTACCTATAATAAGAAACTTCTAAAAGTTAAAGTTAATTAAGATAAAATGCTATTATCTTAACCTAGTTGTTTATATTACAAACACATCTTAAAATTTAGGTGTTTCCCTTTTTTATTTCTTTTTATCCAATAGTAAATGCATAAATAGAGATTTGGTAAAACTTTATACAGTTTCATGAATAAAATTTTACCATACAAAAATCAACTTGAGTTTCCTTTTTACATTTCAGTCCTATTATAACTTTTTTCTAAGATAGGGATATCATTCCTCATAAATAAATAATAATGAATCATTGCCCCTGGAATTGAAAATTATATTCATAGTTAATGACAACCTTTGCTTGTCATGAAAACATGCCAGACTATAGGCAGGTGTATAAGTTTTTTAACTCCTTTTACACTACTTTGTATTTTATCATTACTTAATATTCTTTAAATCTGCATAATGTTATTTTAACCTGGTTGGTGTTGTTTCTTCATTTTGAAAATCAATGCTAATTTTCAGTTCTAAATATCTGTGTTTATCAAATAAATATTTGGTCACTGAGCAACCATATATAACAAATAACTTATCTAGATGAATACTAAACATTTATTACATTTCTACATTTCAGGCAGTTTTAAATATGTTCTCTCAGTATAAATCTCTACCAAGTTGACCTCATCAGACTATGAAGCTTTTGATTAGTTAGCTTTCTGTATTTAAAATTAGAATCCATTAAGATCAGGGTCTATCTTAATCATCTCATCAACTGAATGCTGCATGTCAATCAGAACAACACAAACTGCAGGGAAAAACTTCAATATTGAAAAAGATGAAGGATAACACAAAGCCATGAAGTTCCCCACCCACATTTAATACACTGACAAAGACCTAACAGACCTAGATTCATTCATGGTAGAAGAAAAGAAAATTGACAAGATGGGCATTTGAAAAGAGAACAGCTTCAATTTCAAGAGTCCCTTGAGAAAACTGATGAAGCACCTGAATATTCTTACCAAGAAAAATCATTTTAAAATACTATGAAATCAAACATGAAATGAAGAATATCATAGTTTTATTATACAATGTTTTCATAAAATATTTATCTCATGTACAAAAAAAGAAAAACAACTCAGAATTTGATCCAATCTTTTTGAGGCTAAAATTACTAACTAAAATAACCTGAATTCTATCTCATATAAGATAAATTAAACTAATAATATAAATATCCATTTACCAAGATTCACTCATTATTAACTTCTTCCTTCTCCTTATGAAATTTTGTTCTTCTAACTCGACTCGCTCTCCGTGTTCCTCTTCCAGCACTGCTTATCCTCAAATACTACCATTTCAAGATAGTAAAATGGATTTGTATCCAAGTCACTGGTACAGACGACGAAAGAAAGAAAAGACAAAACAAAGAGAAGTCTTGTCACTAATCTAGGGACGACTCTAAATCAAGAAATAATAAATCACTACTTGAAGTCAATAGATTGTCAGCCATAACCTCAACTATAAGCAAAAATAGATTCCAACACTATAGGTAACTTCAGAATGGTTTTATAGTATCGTATTTCTCCATGTAAATAGATAATCAAGAACTTCCAGGAACATGGTGGAGCAGTAAGCAGCAATAAATCAGCCTCTCCAAGATTCAGAATCCAGACACCAGAAAATAACAGGTTGGGGAAGAAAAGAAGGAGTGATGTGGATCTCTGGGATCCGGGAAGGATCTGATGGGAAAAAAAGTGGAGCCTACAAAGAAATTGATGAGGTATAACACATGCGGAAAAAGGAAAGGACAATATATATACTTTCTCCTTGACTCCTGGCTCATTGCTTGTGAGAAAGAAAGATCAAATCTACAGAGGCACAGTGAAAACAGGACTCCAATGGCCATCAGGGATAAATACATCAGTGGAATGGACCAGTTGATGCTATAACAGCTGGTGGGTGACTCCAGTCCAAGCCCCTGTTATACACCCTGGCAAGGGTTCTTGGTTAGACACTATCCTAGGGAGGGCACACCTGAACCTGGGACTCAGCAGCCCTTGGTCAGGGTCATCTCAGGGCTCCCAGTGTTAAATTTCCAGTGACTGGGTGAGAGACAGCCACAGGAGATGTCTCTAGTTAGCGATCCACGGTCAGGATAGCAAGAGATACCCAGAGTCTTATAACCTAAAGGATCCAATCACCACCACTACAACCAGAGGCCAGGTTCAGCCTGAATTTCCATGGTTGAAAGTCCCAAAAGCAGCACTCTGCCCTAATCCTACTGCCAACTTACTAAGGAATCACAGATCTAGGCTCTGACTGCCTTCTTTGTCAATCAACAAGAGCAAGAACGTGTCTTGACCTGGGCATAGCTACAAAACTGTAGACTCTAGAAGATAACCTTACTGGCTCAAAATCACAGAGAAATGTCTCTTTTCTTTTCTTGCTTTTGGATTTGTTCATCTGGGGTTTGGTTGTTTTTGTCTGTTTTGTGAGTGTAGGCATTGTTTTTAGTTGTGTTGTTTTGTTCTTGTTTTTGCTTTCTTCTTTCCTTCTCTCCTGTCTTCTTCACCAGTTTCTTGGGGGTTGGGTAATATTCCTTTGTCCTTCAGTCTTGCTTATAATCTCTTTTTCTTCTTTTATTTTTCCATTTTTTGTCTTCTCCCTTTTAAATTTGCTCATTTTAATTACTCCTACTGTTTTTACTCTATATAACTTCTTTCTTTTTTCTCCTTTTTTCTATCTTCTATTTCTCGCCAGTTGTTTGCCCAACCTTAACCTATTTATACAGACATCCTTCTACTCCCCAATAATATCCTTTATACCACTTCTCTCTCCTCCTCCTTCTAATATCAGTTTAAAGTTTCAACATTTTCCTTTTGCATCCCCCTATTGCCAAACCCCAAATCTTTAATAGTATAACCATAAAGGTTGTTGATTTTTAAATAGTTAACTCTGTAAAATTACTGTTAAAATTTTTTCTACCATTATCAGAGATTTAACTGTTGGATATAGTACATACTAGCTGTAAGCCAATACATGGGTTGCCTAAAAGTTTACATCATTATTGCTGGTTTATTTTCTAGGATTAAAGGTGGTATATAATTGGTTTTTATGCTACATTAGTGTCTTGGACAATACTACTGCAGCTGTTTTGCTTGGTATTAACAAGGTTACATAGTTGTCCCTATTTCTCTGAAGCTAACACTCAGATTGCCTTTGTGACATTAACAATACTAGAGTACATTCCCAAAAAACGGTTGCTGGGCAAACTACACTGAATCCTCCTCTCCCAAAATAACCAAAGTAGTGGAATCAAAGGACTGTGGCAAAGGACTGTTGTACCCAAAGTACATCACTGAAAAGAAACTAAAGAGATCTCTATGCTAGCAACAAAGTCATTAGAATTATAAGCATCCACAAACCTCAGCACAAAACAAAAGAAAGAAACAAAAACAATAGAAACATGGGAAGTAAAGGCAACATAAGGGTGTGAGTGTTACCTGCCCTAAGTAGTCTGAATAAGATAAAAGGGGCAGAAAGATGTTCTTAAGTTCTCTTGTTGCTTTTGCTGCTTCTGCCACCATGAACTGTTGCCCCTCTGCCACCTTGCCTTGGAGCCAACTGATTATGGACTGAAACCTCTACAAACTATAAGACAACTAAACCTTTTCCCTTTCAACTTTGGATGTTGGGTATTTTGTTTCAGCAACAAGAGAAAAGTAACTAACACAGAAATTTGGTACCAGAGAACTGGGGTTGTTGCTATGACATTACCTGACCATGTGGCTCAAGAGCCTTTGGAACTGGCTTGTGGGAAGGGGAAGAGTTAGGAAAACTTCAGAGATGTCAGCTACAGAAGTAGCACTGGAATGCCCT